CCGCGGGAGAAAGACAGCCTCAGAAACCCTATACAGGGTCGCTATGAGTCGGAACCAGCTCCACGGCACACAACAACAACAACTACAATTAAGGACTTAGATATCCACAGTAGGGACCTTAAACATCATTAAACGAATTCCCTTAATTTATAGATAGAAGAAATGTAGATCCAGATTGATAAAGATTAACTGGTCTCCCTGGTAGGTGTATGATATTATATAACAGATAGCATTATACTTCAAAATAGTGTGACGCCATTCTTTGTTAATTTGTCATTCCCATGTGATTGTCAGGTTGGAAATGGCCAATACCACTCCATTTTAGCTCACTAATTCCTAGGATATCAATATTTATAGGCTTCTTTTTATTTTTTACAACTTCCAATTTTCCTAGATTAATACTTCATACATTCTGTGTTCCTATTATTAATGAATGTTTATAGCTGTTTCTCCTCATTTTGAATTGTGCCCCATCAGCAAATGAAGGTCCGGAAAGTTTTTCTCCATTTGCATCATAACTGTCAACTCTACTTTGAAGAGGCAACTCTTGCCCAGTCGTATTTTGAGTGGCTTCCAACTTGAGGGGCGTATCTTCTGGCACTATATCTGACAATATTCTGGTGTTATTCATCGTGCTTCAATATTTTACATTCTGTTTTTATCTGACAGTGTTCCACTGATATTCATCAGGTTTTTGGTGGTTAAACATTCAGAAGTAGTCTGCCTCTGTTTCTTCCTAGTCTGTCATTGTTTGGAAGCTCAACTGAAACTTATCCACCATGGGTGTCCCCTGCTGGTATTTATAACACCAGTGGTAAGGCTTCCAGCATTATAGCAACACACAAGTCACCACGGTTTGACAAACTGACAAATGAGTGGTGGCTATTCATTAGAGAGATGCTAATCAAAAAACAAAGAGATGTGATATAATTACAGTTTAACAGCAACGCTATCAATTAAAACGAAATACAAGCAGCACAAGACAAAATAAATGAGTGGCACCTCTTGAAAATTATACACTTATGTGCATCAAAAGGTTTTAACGAAGAGTGAAATGAGAACCCACAAACTAGAAAAACTTTTTGATAATGACATATTGGTCTGGGGACTTATCTCTAAATTTTGTAGAAAACTTCAACACATCAACAACAAAAAGACAAATAATCCAATTAAAAAATGGGCAGAGGATATGAACAGATACTTAACCGAGAAGACAGATAGCCATTAAGTTTGCCCTTGGAGTCCTGATGTGGCACTATAAGATAAGCACTAGACTGCTAAGTGTAAGGTTGGTTGTTCAGATCTACCGGCTGCTCTTCAGAGACCCTATACAGAATCACTGTGACTTGGAACCAACTTGATGATACTTAACAACAACAACAAGATTGTCCCAATTTTAAAATTCATTCTTTGTAGTTTTAGATTTTATATTTAGGCCTTTAATCTATCTTGAGTTCATTTTGTATATGGTGTGAGATATAGGTCCAGTTACATTTTTCTGCAAATGGATGTCCAGTTTTGCCAGAATCATTTGTTAAAGAGTCTACCTCTTCCCTTTAATGGGTTTCGGCCCTTTGTCAAAGACAAGTTGTCCATGTTGTTGTGTGCCTTAGTCTGTTCCAACTCACAGAGACCCTGTATAGGATTTTTGAGAATGGCTGGTGGGTTTGAACTTTGTGGTTAGAAGTCCAGTAATTATTCTACAGCGCCATACCAGAAGGCCTCTTCTGTAGTAGTGCTTTGCTTATCTGGGGTTTCTTTCCTTTCAGTTTAAAGTTGGTGATTA